CCCCCCCCCCCCCCCCCCATTTTTTTACATTTAAGATAATGGCGGCAATAGAAGACATCGGCGCACATTAACTTCAACTACATTAATGAGCATCGCGATCTTCACTTTCATGATCTTTCTCGGAGTCCTCACGGTCGTCGAAAACGAAAGGAAAAGCAGGCGTTAACACAGGAGAGCAAAGAAAGAAAAAAAAAAATTTTTTTCCCTTGCCGACTGTGGCCTAGAGGACACCAGGTTAAATCTACGCAGCGGCTGAGGCCTGTAAAACTCTCTCCCGCTTCAGGTCTAATCCCCCAATGCAAACGGAATAAACGCGGGCCTGGTTGGGGGAAGGGTGCCCTCGTCCTCTCTCCCACACTTCCTCGCATTTCCCCAGGAACCCAGCGCCTCCCCTGAGTCTATTCCCTCCACTTACCAGGAGGGGAGAGGGAGAGAAGATTTTGAGTCTCCTACTCCCGGGTTCTTCGTGGAGAAGCCGACTGCTGCTGGAGACCGGCAACGCAGCACCAACCGCTCAGTCGTCTCTTCACAAAATGGCCCCCGAGCCTCCTCTGCCGCCGAGGCGAAGGCCTAGACCCCGCCCTATTCCTAAGACTCTTCCTATTGGCTATACGTTTCCTCGCTCCTGCTTCTAATTAGACAGTTCTACCGCTCTTCACAATTCTGCCCAGTCACAATCAGCAGTGGGTTAGACTAAGCAAGAGAATTTCCACATGCGTAAGAGAGACTCGTTTATAACTGGTTACTTTTGCTGTCACTTATCGCCTGAGGAATGCCTATTGGTCACTGTACCGGACGAAGCCCTGGGTGGAAACTCGCCTTTGTATCGCGCACGGTCTCACATCCGGGCATCCGGAAGGTCTGATTGGCGGCTGCAGGGTCCTATCCCTGCTCCCTTTTAGAGCGCCTAGTAGAAGGTCCGCCCAAACCTCGGGATTCCGGCGGCACCCGGCGGGGGGGCGGGGAAGGCGATGCGGGGTGTTAGCGGGCGCGAAGGATCTGCCCAAGCCCGGGGCCTAAGAAAAAGAAAAAGCGCCAAATGAAGCCGCCTACGTGCAATGTGGATAAAGAAAGGACTTTTCTTAAGATGGAGAGGGAGCGGTGACTAGGCCTTGTTATCGTGTGTGGAAAATTACCCAGCCCTGCAGTTTTTCCAACCCCAGATCCCTTCTTAGTTCACCGGCCTCCTGGACATCTTCGCTTCTCAGCCTATCAAATCCTTCTTCACACAACACATATCCCACTCAAACCAACTGACTTTCCTATTCCTCTTCAATACAAAAGAATAAAAGAAGTATAAAGTGCTGGCCTATAATACTACAGCGCCCGTATAGTACGGCCACAAGTCATCTCTAATATCTCACGTGCCAGTCAAACTGGCCTATCCCTCTGAATCTGGTCCTTTTAATCCCCCTCATTCTGCAATGGCCTGTCTCCCACCTACCCCTCCAGCCACTGCCTGCCCGTTCCTCTGGCTGCATAGGAACTGTGCACCAATGAAACAGGACCGGCTCTGCTAAAGAAGGGAGAGATTTCTATGTGCTGTGGGGAAAGATCTTATCCATCATTACGTGGATAAGGCAAGGTACAAGACCCCGTCTAGATGATGTCATTTCATCTGTACACCTTTTTAAGGGATTTGTGTATATGTGGATGCAGTTTTAGGCATTCGTTTTTAATTAATTGCGAATTCCAGACAGATTCACCACAAAAGTAGCTGCTACCTTTGGGAGATTGTTATTGTTATCTCTTTCTATACTGTCTGAGTTTTTTGTTATTGCTGTTATATGCATGTATTGCTTTAAACTAATTTAAAAAGCAAAAGCAAAAAGCATGGAAGAAAAGATATAATAAAATATGAATAATGATTTGCTCCTGCTAGGGGAATTACACATGATTTTTTTAAACATTCGTATTTATTTATTTATGTTTTAAGTCAGAGTCTCACTCTGTCGCCCAGGCTGGAGTGCAGTGGCACGCTCACGGCCACCGCAGTCTCAACCTGCTGGGCTCAGGTGATTCGTCCACTTCAGCTTTCCAGGTAGCAGGAACTACAGGCATGTGCCACCAGGCCAGGCTAATTATTTGATTTATTATAGAGATGATGTCTCGCCAAGTTGCCCAGACTGGTCTTGAACCCCTGGGCTCAGGCAATCCTCTCACCTTGTCCTCCCATAGTGCTGGGATTATAGGTGTGAGCCACCGTGCCCAGCCAACTTTCTTATACATTTCTATATTTTCCAAATCATCTACTTTGTACAAGTCGTCAGAGGGAGAATATCCTCCAAGTGCTTGAAGCCTCAACTCAATTGCTATGTTGCAATTTATTTAAAACTACCACGTAGCACTGTGGTTAATTTTACACTTTGCTTTTCCCCTCCTGGATGGTAAGCTTTTTTGATGGCAAAGTTTAATTCTTACTCCTCTCTCTAATTCCCTTGTTTACTACCTATTACAAGGCCCTAAAGAAAAGTGTTTGAAATATATATTAAATTAATCACTAACTTTCATTTATCAGGGGAAATTGTTATTTTTCCAGGAGAAGTAGAGAGACTGTCTTTTCTTATTGTATGTTTTGCATAGCATTTACTCGGAGAGGCCCAGAGGCTGTGAGATCTGGTTGACATGTAATTCATATCATTCTTAAGTAAACAAAAATAAAACCAATATGTTTTATTACTATTCTTATACAATAAAATGTCTATAAGATGTTAGTAAAAACTACCTACTTTCATTTTACCAAAATTCAGTTTTACTGCATGATCTCTATCATGACCTACTATGAACCAGCACTGTGTTTGGTGCAAGGAAAGCACTTGCGAGATAGCATTCATGTTTTCAGTTCACCTCTTTGGTAGGTGAGGTAGAAGTGGAGGGGATACAAGAAACATTAACAACCAGTTTATCAGATAATTTAGAATTTACTAAGGATGAGAAAACAAATGCAAAAATAGGAGAAAAACACAAGGCAGAATGCAAACATCATGTTTATGACAAACATTCATAACTTCTGACCTAATTGAGCCACATCCTCTGCTGAGAGAGAGAGACAGAGAGAGAAGGTGGGTGAGGTATAGGAAGTCCCTTGATCTCTTCTGCCTACTCTAAACACCCTTGCAGTTCTAAAGTTGAACCTGATCTTTTGTTTTTAATTCAAAAAATAATTCTGGCCAGGCTCGGTGGCTCAGCCTGTAATAATCCCACGTCTTTGGGAGACTGAGGTGAGTGGATTGCCTGAGCCCGCGGATTCGAGACCTGCCTGGGCAGCGAGACCTCATCTCTACAATAAATCAAAAAATCAGCCGGGCGTGGTAACGCATGTCTGTAATTCCGGCTACTCGGAAGGCTGAGGCGGAAGGATCGCCGGAGCCCAGCAGGCCGAGGCTGCGGTGGCCAGAGCGGCCACTGCACTCCAGTCTGGGTGACAGAGTGAGACTCCAACTCAATAATAATAATAATAATAATAATAATTCTGTTTGAAGAAGGATTCATGTGGCTTGGAAGTATTACCAGAATAATGTATCCTTTGCATCCCTCCTTTCTCCCAATTCTAAGCCACCTATCAAGAAGAAGAAAGGAAAAGCAGCAACAGCTATGAAATGCCTAATTTACTTTTTACCTGACATATTAACTGAATAACATTTCTATATTTTCCATATCATCTACTTTGTACAAGTCGTCAGAGGGAGACTATCTATCATCCTACACACCTAGCCTACCAAATCATCTACCTGCTTCATTCAGCAAGTCAAATAGAGATCTACAGTATAATCATCATCGCCTTTCTTCCTCTGCATCCTCCCATCATCCAAGGATGTCATAAGCATCTCTCACTGGAGAGTGAGGAGGTGGTCTCTGTTGAATCCAGAACAATTCCTTGTTTAAAATTTTACAGAGCTGGGCACAGTGGCTCACGCCTGTAATCCCAGCACTTTGGGAGGCTCAGGTGAAAGGATTGCATGAGCCCAGTGTTCAAGACCAGCCTGGGCAACTTGGTGAGACCTCGTTCCCTACAATAAATCCAAAAAATAATTAGCCGGGCGTGATGGTGGCGTGTGCCTGTAGTTCCAGCTACTTGGAAGGCTGAGGCGGAAGGATCGCCTGAGCCCAGCAGGTCGATACTGCAAAGGCTGTGGGCCTAGATAACAGAGTAAGACTGACTCAAAAAAACAAAAACTAAAAACTTTTACAGAGCTCTGTAATTTGGAGACCTATCTGGCTGATGAAAACTAGTTTTTACAGGCAATCATATTCTACTTGGAAAATAAAGTGAGAAAGATATTACACATAACTTTGAAGACCTTACATTTTTACTTCATCCTGTTTCTCCCACATTGAGTCTGTCCCCCAAGTTGATCCTATAAATGGCTATCAGAATAGGTTCACTTTTATTGTGTGACTCCCACACTAAAATCTTATAATAGTTCTGTATTCCAGTCCTAAATTATTATTGTTTCATTCACAGTTATTCCCTGACTAGTCCCTCCCCAGGACACTTGGCCCAGGCGGCTCCTGCTGTCCTCACTGCAAGATACTACACTGCCGTATGGCGTGGTCCTTCTTCATAGTCCTGTTCTTTTAGAACCCAACTCAAGTCCCAGTTAATTCATTAAAAGATATACAGTGATTTGTTCAGCTGCTTACTCAATGGACCAATACTTCAAGTGAGTTTTTTTTTTAAGTACTTTCTATATTCCGTATACTGACCCAAACATCAGATATGTCACAAAGCTGAATACGACTTAGTTCTAGTCTTCAAGCTTTGCATTCCTTCTCGAACTCATTTCATAGTCATTATTTGCCCTATAACAAGAGAGTGCTGTTTTTTTCTTTAAACCTTTTATTTTTGGACCCTATCTTGTGCTTCGTGTACATATGTGAATCACAATATTTAATAGATTGATTGTCTGATAGCTCTATAATGTAGCATTTCATTTCATTTATCTTTTTATCCCAAAAGCCTTTGGCAGAGGGTAACATCATAATGAGGGAATTCGTTTTTATTTTTATTTATTTATTTTGAGTTGGAGTCTCACTCTGTCTGGAGTGCAGCCTCGACTTGCTGGGCTCAAGCCATTCTTCTGCTTCGGCCTTCCAAGTAGTTGGGACTATAGGCGTGTGCCACGACACTTGGCTAATTTTTTTTTTTTTTTTTTGAGTTGGAGTCTCACTCTGTCGCCCAGACTGGAGTGCAGTGGCCGCTCCCGGCCACCGCAGCCTCGACCTGCTGGGCTCTGGCGATCCTTCTGCCTCAGCCTTCCGAGTAGCCGGAATTACAGGCACGCGCTACCACACCCGGCTAATTTTTAATTTTATTGTTGAGATGAAGTCTCACCTGCCCAGGTGGGTCTCGAACCCGCGGGCTCGGGCAATCCACTCACCTCAACCTCCCAAAGGCGCGGGATTACAGATTGAGCCACCAAGCCCGGCTTGGCTAATTTTTAAAATGTATTATAGATACCGGATTTTGCCAAGTTGCCCAGGCTGGTCTTGAACACATGGGCTCAGGCAATCCTCTTGCCTCTGCCTCCCA